AAGAAAGAAAGAAAGAAAGAAAGAAAGAAAGAAAGAAAGAAAGAAAGAGATGAGCAAGGATGGTGATAAATGATCATGCACCTTTGAAAAGGCAAAGACTTTCCTGACAGGCCACCAGCTAGTGTGTACAGCACTGGGTTAGATAGATCTGAAGCACTTTTCCTAATCTGAAGACATGTGATTTTGATAAGTCCATCCTTCTTGCTGTATCCTTTCTTTGGACAAGTCATTCCTACATCTAATCTTCAGAACCCTTGATGGCCAATAGACGGGAGCAAAGAGTTAAGAATTTTCTATATGAATTTGCTGCCATTTCATGGTCATCTGGATTACTTCATCCAAGATATGGTCCTATCATGCCAAAACATAGACCCCCAAAACATTAATGTACACCTCTGACTGAATTCTCCTATGACAAAATCTCATGCTAATCCAGTATTGAATTATTGGAGGAAAGACATCTAATTGAGTCATTCAAAGTAGATTCTGAATTTGCTCTGTCTTCAACCAGTCCGCAAGGAATAAGACCACGTGTATATACCAAAACACAGGAAGCCTTGACACAGGCTAAATTTGTATGGTATCAATTCAGTGATTACAATACAGGGAAAATCTAAAGACTGAGACTATAATTCTGCAAATGCAAGGTATAAGTAAGCCTTGATCCCAATGTATCCAGACCAAGGGCTGCAAGGGATATAGAGGCTAAATCCTATAGGTATGTTTAGTCTAAAGAAGACAAGGCTAAAGGGAGATGTAATATTAGTTTTTTAATACATGACGAGATGTCACAGAGGAAATAGTATAGATTTGTTTTACAAAGCAACCGATCGATGGAAGCTCTACCGTGAGAGATTCAAGCTTGAAATAAGAAGGAATTTCCTGTGTATGAAAGCTGATAAGCAATGGAACAATTTGCCTCCTAAAGTCATATATGCTCAATCAGTTAATGTTTTCAAGGAAAGACTGGATAACCATTTGTCTAGGATGGTATGAGGATCCTGCATTGGTCAATGTAGTCAATGAAATAAACAGGAAAAAGAAGAAAGAATGCCATGACCTACCCTTCTTTGTATTACATAGTGATACCAAAGAAGGAAAGAAGGAAGAAAGGAAAGAGATGGTGAAATTATTGTTTTTAACTGGAGGATAGTAATTTGAGGAAAGCTATTACAATAATAGTCCCATCCATGCTCATATTGGGGGATCATAATTGGTTCATTGGAGACCACATTTATGTACACTCAGTATGAAGGCATCCATCTCTTTTCAGTCCAGTGAGATCACATTATTTCAACTCCAATTTATCTATGCCCAGTATAGAATTTCTTATTTCTGTAGCTGAATAAGATGAAAAGGAAGTGATTGCTTGGTTGCCAAAATTCATTAGCAGAAAGATGTTCCTGAAAAGAAACAACTTTCTCTTCCTCCTCCCTCTTTCCTGCATCCAACTGAAAAAGATAAATCTCGGGATAAACAAATCTCAGGATAACTATTTTCTCTGGGGAAACACATTTGCATTGAAAAACTGTGTAGTGTGTGTGTGTGTGTGTGTGTGTGTGTGTGTGTGTGTGGGAAAATACCACTCTTTCAGTCCTAGGAAGAAAATAGTGCCAAACCACTTTTGAACACCTTGACAAGGAAATTGAAGAGACTAATCCAGATGGCCTAGAGTCAACACTGACTTGAAGGTACTCACAAAGAGCACAAACTGCAAATAAACTATAATATTCCATCAAAAATACTTTAAGAGGAGGTTAGGAAAGCAAGAAATGTGTGTGACTATGTGTATGCTCTGTATAAATATTGTCATAATAAGGAAGAATGCCTGCCCTGAAAGGATAACCCTTCCTTGCTAGCTAAAGTACTGGATAACTAAAAGGCTTGGGCACCTGTAAGTGGCTGACAGATGATAGATACATCAGATGAGCAAATTTGAGCTGAACATTCTGCTAAGAAGCCCTTCCTTGGCTGCTGCTAGTGACACCATATTACTAGGGCTAATAGAAAATATATTCAAGGAGACCAAACTATAAGCTTGACCCATGACACCTTCTCTTTTTCAACTGAGGCATGTACAATATAAATCATACAAGCCACTGTTCTTTTTCTTTTTCCTAACTCCTGCCACCCTCATTTTTGATGTACTTACCCCCCACACAGGAACTATTAAAAGACCGTCCTTTCAAACATCATTTCTCTTCAGAACCATCTGTGGTGGCAATCGCATCTTGTTGCCTGTAGACACTCACTCATCACCGTCCAGCAGTTATCTGTAAGTGAAACACAAATAAAAAACAAAAGGACAACCATTTGTATGAAGCAAAAGCTCTCCTGTGGATTGCCCTAAGCTCCTTGAATCATGACACTTCTATTTTGAGATAAATCTTTCCCCCTCAATCCTGATTTCCACATCCCAATCTAGTATGCTTTTACCAGCAATACAAATCACAATAAAATAAAAAGGGAAGTGGGGGTTGGGATCAGTACACAAAGGCTGAGAATACTTTTTCATCCATCATGACTTTATAAACTAGTTAATCAGAACACCACATTTATTTTCCTTAGATAAGATTAGCAGAAGAATATTCCTTAAGACCCACCTGCCTTTTAATTTGCTTAGAGCATAATTACTTTTTTCTTGTTCTAAAAAGCATTTCAAGTTTCAAGAGGTACAGCATTCACAATCAAATCAGCTGAGGAGAAGCAAAGAGAATAACACAATACAGTAGCTTAAAGGCAATTATAATTGCTCTCTTCCCAAGCAGGAATGCCAGTGCCAAAAGATATGCACGGTGTATAATACCAAGCTTTTTAGGAATATGGATGTGAATACTATTACAGCAATGTAAATGAAATTAAATGTTAATTAAATGCTGCTCTTTAACCCTTCCCATCTCAAGATTTTTTCCCTTTTCTTTTTTGTTCTGCACAACATATTTTCTAAGACTGATGTATAATTGAAACCAGAGGCTTTTCTTTTGGGACAGATGAATAAACAGCTGGGAAAAAAAGTCATGGAACTTTGTTTTATATATAGGATAACTGCAGTGAGATTATTAAATTCTCAAAAGCGGAAAGGTCCAGTACTGCCCAAAATGGAGGAATGGATGATGAAGATGATGGGACTTGCAAAGACGGCTAAATTGACTTCTTTGATTAAAGAAAAGACAACTTCTTCATTTGTTGATGACTGAAAACGCCTTAAGGACTTTTGCATGAAAAGGAAAAAAATGAGCTTTTGGTGTGTGGCTTGATGATTAGAAGACATGAATAATAGGAAAAAGGAGAGCTTTTTTGTAACCACAGAGTAAGAAATAATTTGGTAATCATACTTATAGTACATTTGCTACAGAGGAAATAAGAAACCTTTTCTATTTCTTTTTTCTTGTCTTTTTTGCACTTTTTCTCCCTTTCCCTTTTATTTATTTACCTTGCATTAGTTTTGGTTATTTTTTAATCTTCTTTTAAAAACTTTTAATAAAATTTATAAAAATAAATAACACATTTGCAAAGGCAAATAAATTCTTTACCTTTGATAGATAGGCATACCTGTAGAGCAATAAAAATACTTTTAGGTGGTAGGTTAAAGTCAGATCTAGCTCAAGGAAATTATGTGTTATGCATGGTTATCAAAATCAAATGATGCTCAGCATAACTATTTCTCTTCTAATTCTACTATTATTCACTAAATCCCATTGAATGATTAGTCTGCATAATTAAAACTCACCATTTTCACTGTTTAGTGCTTTACCTCTCTTAGTATCTTCCTTCAACCTCAATTGTTAATCCCATGCACATATCATCTTCTGTATAATAAACTTGTCATCACCAGCTCAACATTTGAATGGAGGAGACATATCTAATGTTAATACCTTATGCACGAATCCTGTATACTAGATAGAGACAGAGATATCAGCCTTCCCAATGTAATATCTTCCAGCTGTTTTAGACAATAGCTACTTTCATTCTGAATCTGAGGACTGCCAAATTATGGATTTATAATATGACACACTTGTAAGTTGAGGAAGAAAACGTGTATGGTTTCAACTACTAAGAAATACAGATGTTCAGGGAAGCAAAAGGGTAGAATGGAAAAATGTAGAAATATAAACTGAAACCTGTAAGAGGGCCATAATTACATAAAAATTACATATTTATATTCTTTTTTCTAAAGATTGAACATGTCAGACATATTCTTATTCTGGTTTTTATTATTCTCAGTTTAATTTTACCAGGTGGCTTATGTTGAAAGTTGATGGTTTTTTAAGGTTACAGAATATGGGTAAATTGAGATACGAGTGAACACTCAAGACTGCAAATATACCAGTATTTTTCCTTTATGAATAAATTAAATAATCCATGAATTTAAACAGTAAAAATATATTAGTCAAATTGTGCATTATTACATTGGATTGTTCATTATCTGTCATGAAATCAAGTTTATTTAATCCAGTATTCTGTTTCCATATAGGTGATTAGAAATACACACTTCTACTGTACTAGTATTTCTAAGCAAGCACTGCTAAAAGACATAACCTATTGCCATCAAGAGTACTAACTGGTAGTTTTTTCCTCGGTGTTAAGTTTATTACAGCAAAATCTACACTCTGAATGATAGATATGCTGATATGATTCTTTGGTCTCTTTTTTCCAATCAACTTAATTAGAAGATGGCTATGAGAATCAGGGCCTCCATTGTGATTCCCGAATCACAGGTAGTCTTCAACTTTACAAACACAATTGAGACTAAAAATTATGTCACTAAGCGAGACAGTTGTTAAGTGAATTTTGCCCCATTTTATGACTTTTCATGACACAGAATCACTGCAATTCTTAAATTAGTAACACGGTTTTTAAGTGAATCTGGCTTCTGCGGTGACTTTGCTTGTTGGAAGGATGCAAAAGGGGATCACATGACCCCGGGACAACGTAACTGTAATAAATACATGCCAGTTGCCAAGCAACCCAATTCTGATCACGTGACCATATGGATACTGCAAGGGTCGTTAAGTGTGAAAAATGGTGATAAGTCACTTTTTTTCAGTGCCGTTGTAACTTTCAACGGTCACTAAATGAACTCTTGCAATACTTTTCCAAGTATTTTTTGGAATCCGAGATGTGAAGCATGCAAAACTTGTAGTGTAAAGCTTTGATGATAGGATTAAGGTTTAAAAAACATCTCCAGAAAAGGCTAAGGAAAAAAAAACAGCAGTCCTGCTCCCTGCCCCCGCTACTCATGTGGCCCTTAAATCCTCCCAGATGTATTACGTGTAGCCCATTGAAAGGTTTTACTCTTGAGTTTGAAAACTTCAGTTTGACAGTTTCATTTTCAACAGATCAAAAAGGCTCAAATGATTACCTCATCAAGGAAAATCCAGGAGAAATTCTTGCTTTAATAAATCCCTCCATAAGGATTCTGCTTTGTTCCATAAGCAGAAATTATTTCAACTTTGAGGGCTGCAAATGAATCTACCAAACCAGATATCAGGGAATGCATACTCACAATAGACTATCTGGAGATTATCAAGAGTGCAGATGTGACAAGGGAACAGAATGCTTACTCCCAGGCTACATAGAAGCCCTTGAAAAGCAACAGATGACATTTGCGATACAAATGATCTATTTCTCATCTAAATTATTTTGAGTCTTGCTGGGGACCTCTTTTGGTAGATGATGGGGACTGGACAATGAACTAAAATTAATTTAATTTCACTTATTAAATGTCATAAAATAAAATAAAATTAACCTAATTACTTTCAAGCCAGAAGTTTGTGTGTGTGAGGATGTATAATTTATTTAGTTATATCCTGCCTTACTAGTTTTACAAATAACTCAAGGCAGCAAACATATCCAACACACCTTCCTTCTTCTATTTTTCCTACAACAAACACCTTGTGAGGTAACTTGAGTTGAGAGAGAAGTCTGACTGACTCAAGGTCACCCAGCTGGTTTTCATGGCCGTGGTGGGACCAGAACTCACAGCCTCCCACTTTCTAGCCTGTCTTAACCACTAGACCCATGATGGTGAACCTATGGCATGCGTGCCAAAAGTGGCATGCAGAGCCATCTCTGCAGGCTTGCAAGCTGTTGCCCCAGCTCAGTTCCTTTGCACATGTGCACATGCCTCCCGCCAGCCAAGTGATTTTCGGGTATCTGCCGTGCATACATGGGGGGGGGGCATGGGGAGATGTGTGCGCATGCGCAGGGGGAGCGTGGGAAGGGGTCGCGCATGCATTGCATTATGGGTGCAGGCACGCGTACACATTGTCACATGCATATGTGCTCACTTTTGGCACGCAACAACACAAAGGTTAGCCATCACTGCACTAGGCTAAACAATTTATCCTCTTTCTTATTAAATACAAAAAATTAAAAACTAATATTCAAAAAGCAACAGCCCCCCCCCCCCCCCCCGAGATATCTAGTAACTTTTTTGACTATTTTATACAATCCTGAGACTTCATGTTGTATATATCTAATCCATCCTTTAAATTCTCCACTTAATCTTCCCCTCACAGAAGGGCAGGAGGCTTACAGGATCAACCCTTTTTCCCCCTACAAGCTTCAAGGCATGAAGCCAGAAATAAATCAGCAGATTTGAAATCATGGTTTAAAATGGATCTAAGTATAAAGTTAAAAATTAAGGCTGCATACAAGTTGAAGTGAGTTGGATTTTCTTCAAGTAAAACGTACATAGGACAGAACTGTACAACTAATTTTATTTGTAAGTAAATCCTGTTGTACACTTATTTCCGTTGGTTTTCACAAACCACTAGGAAAAGCTTCAAGCCAAATTTATTTATGTTCAGGGAAGAAACATTGAAACAATATTGTGAAATACCAATGGTCTCTTACCCTACACACCATCAAGTCACAGATTCATTTTCAGTTTTCGCGGGTACTTACATGTATGGTATTCAGCTTTGTTCGGGTATTTTCCCACGTCATTGTAGTTGTGCTTTTAAAGTTGTAGCAACATTTTGGCAGAATCTCATCTGTCATCATCAGGCTTCTGACGGACACAATACAGAAGCCTGATGATGGCAGATGACATTCTGCCAAAACGTTGCTACAACTTTAAAAGCACAACTACAATGATGTGGGAAAATACCTGAACAAAGCTGAATACCATACACACACAAACACACACACACACACACACACACACACATATTTCTGCAAAGCGCAATATGGTGTTCTATTTCTTTTTCATTTTCAAAGCAATTTTCTGAGGCGATATTTTCAATAACATAAGTTATGTTTACAGTTG